CCCTACGTGGAGAGGAAACTGGGAAGATGAAGAAGGGAAATTTCCTGGGATGTTTTCCATTTCACTTCAAAAGCAGAGACTAATTGGACCGAAAGGGGCTTTAAAGACAGAACAGTTCCTGCTCTTTCTTTTATACAAGAGGAAACTGCAACCCAGAGGGTCGCTTTGCTTCCCAAGAGTACAAGGTCACAGAGTAGCCTGGTCTAGGCCTTTTAATCTCCAGAGTCCTTTAGCTTTGTCTTCAATATGTGATTTTGACACTTTATGTAAAATGTAACACCCACAAAAGATTCATATATATTCCAACGTAAGTATAAAATGTATTATAAAACTATGTATGACTTTTGAATTAGGCATCAGTGTCTCTCCCCACCCTCCCCATCAATGTGGATAATTGGAATTTGACTACATTATGAGTTTTCACAGAATGGCTTTCAGAGGAAGGCTAGAACTCCAGCAATTAAACTTCAAAAAATATTGTATCTTAATGGCCTTATCTCAGAATGAGGATAATAATTATTATCTCATCCAACAGGATGCCATAAAGACTAAATATTTAATGGTAGCAATACATTCTAAATGCCACATAAACAAATACCATAGCGATACATACAGTAACTTCTGGCAGGTTAACATTATAGCAGGTTAATATTACACAGAACTCATTGAAAAGAGCCCAAGTAACACACAGAACATTTAGACATCTGACTGTTTCCAATCAAGAGAGCAAGATGTGGGACTTCCCTGGTGGTCCAGTGGTTGGGACTCCTTGCTCCCAATGCAGGAGGCATGGGTTCAATCTCTGGTCGGGGAACTAAGATCCCACATGCCCCATGGCACGGCCAAAAAATTTCAAAAATAAAATAAAATAAACCATCTACAGATTTCAAATAATCAAAAAAAATTTTTAAAAAGAGAGCAAGATTTAAACTGATAAACATAAATTTAATCAAGACATCCCAATTCTTAAAAATCCCTGTGGTACGCAAATCTACAACCAAGGAATCTAAGACCTTTGAGGGAAAAAAAGGACAATGGGATGGAAGTTAAAAGAAACTCAGGAGATCTTGAAAATACTTTAAAATTATTAAAATAAAATAGGGCAACCATAATAAGAGGAAAATATCACGGACATTTTATACATTTTGAACTTGTTCCAATAGGTACTATATTATTCATTTTTATATACGATTTCTGCTTGCTAAGAAACCTCTCAGAATCTGTCTTTTGTTACAATGAATTATAAATATTATTTGCCAAGAAACATTACCTTCTTCCCTATCTGCATCTACATTCTTTATCCAAAGTGCTCAAAGAACAAACTGGATTCCAAAAGGCTTCACTATTTTAAATGTTTGGGTAAATTTTATTTCCCTTGCCTGGGAAAGTTGAGGTAGCCCCAGGCAAAAGTCCCTCCATAGCACAGCTCAGTCCAGGGTTTCCATCATGTCAGAAATAGGCTTTGGGACCCCTTTACTGTAGTTCAGCTCCCTGAATTTTAATAAACTAGAGAGCAGTACTAAGACCCTTTGGTTCTTTTATCAATTCCTAGGGCTTCTTTGAAAAATCTCTATTTCTACTGTGCTATAGCTTTTTAAAAGTTGCCTCTTTTCACCTAACCCATTTCTAGTTACAGCAGTAACAATTTGCAGATGAAACTATAAGTCAAAAGAAAAGACCTACAGAAGCAAATTCATGAATATCAGAATTTTATATAAAGATAAACTGTGGTTAGAAAACAGACGATAACAGTATTAGGCTAGATAACTAAGATAATGTGGTGTAAACTAATCTGCCTAGCGACCAACCAATGGCTTGGATGAAAATCAGTCAGCGATTCATTAATTTATGATGTTCCTACATTTATATACAGATACTAAGATAATAAGCTATATGAAAATTCCAGAGAAACAACATTTATGTTTACTTTCCTTGCAGGAAAATATAAAATACAAATGAACGCTGTTGAAATATTATATAAAACATGTTGGACTAAATCAGTAGCCTTCAAAATAAGTAATCCCTTCAAAAGGGAGCATCTTAAAACTTTTCAAGGAACACAGAGTTTTGTAAGCACACGTAGTTTTAAGGCACAGTTAGTTTAAAGGAATTGATTTTGGGATGCTAAATATGCAAATTAACACCTTCACTAAAACCGTGAGGGTAGAAATTTTCTCTCTTCAAGGAAAATAATCAAGGATGTAAGATTTCTAACATTTAAAGGAAAGTCTGTCATGCAGTTTTTTTAATGGATGATTATGGATATCAAACAGTTATGTCGAATATTCTACTGAATATACTTAAAAGAACAATAGTTTTATTTTTTAATGTCAATATTCACAATGTCCTCAAAATTATATCTTTTGCAAATGTTTAAACTTACTATTAAAAAGTTTTAGCTGTCACACTATGGAGAACAGTATGGAGGTTCCTTAAAAAACTAAAAATGGAACTACCATATGACCCAGCAATCCCACTACTGGGCATATACCCGAGAAAACCATAATTCGAAAAGAGTCATGTACTACAATGTTCACTGCAGCTCTGTTTACAATAGCCAGGACATGGAAGCAACCTAAGTGTCCATCGACAGATGAATGTATAAAGAAGACATGGCACATATATACTATGGAATACTACTCAGCCATAAAAAGAAATGAAATTGAGTTATTTGTAGTGAGGTGGATGGACCTAGAGTCTGTCATACAGAGTGAAGTAAGTCAGAAAGAGAAAAAGAAATACCATATGTTAACACATATGTATGGAATCTAAAAAAAAAAAAAAAAAAAGGCTCTGACGAACCTAGGGGCAGGACAGGAATAAAGACACAGACATAGAGAATGGACTTGAGGACATGGAGAGGGACAAGGGTCAGCTGGGACGAAGTGAGAGAATGACATGGACATATATACACCACCAAATATAAAATAGATAGCTAGTGAGAAGCAGCTGCATAGCACAGGGCGATCAGCTCGGTGCTTTGTGACCACCTAGAGGGGTGGGATAAGGAGGGTGGGAGGGAGGAGATATGGGGATATAGGTATAGGTACAGCTGATTCACTTTGTTATAAAGCAGAAACTAACACACCATTGTAAAGCAATTATACTCCAATAAAGATGTTAAAAAAAAAAACGTTTTAGCTGTCAATATAAAAATGTGCAAGGGATTAGACATTTCTTGATACTCATTAGAGAGATGATGAGCAAAAAAGTTTGAAAGCCACTGGACTACGTCATGTCAAGGTTTCACTAACCTCTAGTGTTCTAATGTCAAGATTCTAAATAAGGCTCTTTCTATATAAGTCCTAGGCTATCTGGAGTGACACAGAAAGGTTGGGCCCATTAAAGAGCCCTTGGTAGAGAAGGTGAGATCTGAGCAGGGTTTTATGAATGGAAAACAGGGGACCTGAAGAACCTGGGAAAAGATGAAGAGGCCTCTGCAGGAGAGGCAAAGTGGACGTGCCCGGGGGGAAAATGGGAAGAGTGTGGGTTTTCAGGTCTCAAGAAGCTTGAGTTCAAATCCAGCTTTTACTACATTTTGGCTGAGCTACTTTGAAGAAATCTTCATTTCTATTTTGATGATCAAACGAAGAGATAGAAAATAAAATTTTAAATTATAAACAGCACATGTTAGTCATTAAACCCTTTTCCACCAGAAACCATTGAGCAGTAGCAGTTTACACAATGGTCAAAAGCATGAGCTCTAGAACCAACAGCCTGTGTTAAGACAAAAACTGCCATTTCCTGGAGGAAGGATCTCAGCCAGGTTAACGAAACCTCTCTGTGCTCAATTAGCCTTATGTGTAAAAGGGAGATAATTAAGGAACAACCCACTTGATAGGGTTATTGTGAGGATTAAGTGAGTTAGTGCACGTAAAGAGCTTAAAATCATGCTCAAAAGAATTATGTGGTTGCTTTATTATTGTTGTTGGTGGTATTCCTATTATTACTCCCTGATTCTCAATGTCAAACAGAGATCAAGAGATTACCAACCACTAATACGTATTTGTTGGATTAAGAATCTAAAAAGGGGTGGGGGTCTGGTGGGGAGGGAGGACAAGCAGGCCGCTAAGTCTGTAGGAGGGCTTTAATAATAAAGCCACCAATATGGCTCCCTGGTTTCTCCGCAAAAGTATGTGACAACGATCTAGTGAACTTCTCTGCTGTCATAACTAACAAAGTAGCCTATATCTTTTCCCCTTGCTTAAAAGCCAAAACCCCAAAAGAACACATTGCAATTTATGCTACAAAGAATATCTTGATATAATCGGTAGGATTATATTTGGTAGTTAAGTAAGATGGCACATTTGTTAGAAATGATTCTGCAACATGGTAGGTACATTCTGTCCTTACCTAAGGGAGTTCTGACACTAAAGGACCAAAAGACCTCATTATAAAATACCCTTACCTATTATTAACACACCAACCACAGAACCAAAAGTAGCAATATGACACAAACCCTTTGAGCTCTGAATGTAATTTTTTAGTCATTATTGGAATAATTTTATTGGAATACTTTTTAAATTACAGAAGTAATTCGTAGTTCCTCATTCACATTCTTTAAAATACATACATATATATTTACACACACACACACACACACACACACACACACACACACACACACTTTTTAAAAAATAAAAAATTGGTTTTCCACCCCTGACTTTTCAAATCACATTCAGGACAAGATGCATAGTTTTTCAGAAATTATTTTAGAAGTTAGAAGTTTTGGCTAAAGTCTTGACCAAAATGTGGAAACACAAAGCTCAGAAATGTGATATTTTAAGAAAAGCATTTAAAAGACCATGTTTTAACTTTTAAAAAGAAGTCCCAGAACTATAACTACAGGGTAATGTGCCAAATAGATTGTGCTGCTTTCCAATTTCATTTAAGCATTCTATCTGAGCTAAAATTCAGGATATGTTCAATATTCTGAGATTTTGCTAACAGGTAATATGTACTGAGAAGCAATAGATTGGCATTCGGAATTTTTAACTTACAAGTATGTCTGGCCAGTGAGTAGTTGGATCCACCACTAGTCAAACCAAATCCCTCAGGAATTTGACTAGAGCTTCGAGGTCTGGTCAGCAGTTTAGGAGGTTCAATTTCCGCACCAAATTCAGCTCCTATTACTCCTAGTAAAACAATAGCAGTAGCTTGCTTTCGTCTTTCCTCATAAGATGTGGACATTTTTTTCATTTGTGGGACACTTGATAAGCAACCTGAAAACCAAAACATAAGAATAGAAATTAAAAGACTATCAATACATATGATAAGAAACACATTCCAGATTGGTCACTCAGGAATGAACAGGCTTTTCAACAAATGGCACAGGAACAACTGGTTTTCCATGTGCAAAAGAATGAAATTGGATTTCTACCTCTCACCATGTAAGAAAATCAACTCAAAATGGATTACAGTCCTAAATATAAGAGCTAAAACTAAATAACTTGCAGAAAAAAAAAATAGATGTATATTTTTTCATGATCTTGGGTTACACAATGATTTCTTAGATATTATAGCAAAAGCATGAGTAATTTAAAAATTTTTTTAAATTGAACTTCAGTATTAAAAACTTTTGTGCTTCAAATGACATAATCAGGAAAGTAAGAAGAACATAGAGACTGAGAGAAAATATTGCAAATTATATATCTAATAAGGGATTGTACCCAGAATACTTAAGGACCTCTTCTTACAACTCAATATTAAGAAAATCCAACTTTTAAAATGAGCAACCAATTTAAATAGGTATTTCTCCAAAGATATATGAATGGCCAATATGCATATTAAATCTGTTCAACATCACTGGTCATTAGAAAAATGGAAATCAAAACCACAGTGAGATACCACTTCATATCTACTAGAATGGCTGCAATTAAAAGGACAGACCATGACATGTATTATTGAGTCTGTATGGAAAATGAAACTCTCATGCATTGCTGGTGGCAATGTACAATGATACAACTATTAATACTTTGGAAAATAGTTTGGCAGTTAGAGTTATAACATATGGCCCAGCAATCCCACTCCTAGGTATCTACCCAAGAGGAGTGAAAACAAACGTACACATACAGACTTGTACATGAATGTCCACAGCAGCATTATTCATAAGAGCCAAAAAGTAGAAACAACTCAAAAGTCCATCAGCTGATAAACGTCTAAACAAAATGTGCTACACCCATCCAATAAAATATTATTCAGCAATAAAAAGGAATGAAGCATAAATACATGCTGCAATGTGGATGATCTTGAAAACACTATGCTAAGGGAAAAAAGCCAGTCACAAAGGACCACGTGTTGTTGTATAATTCCATTTACGTGAAATGTCCAGAATAGGCAAATCTATATAGACAGAAAGTAGACTGGGACTGAGGTGAAATGGTTAATGATGGCTAATGAGTACTAGGTTTTTGAGATGAAAAACTTATAATATTAGATTATGATATCTGCACAACTCCAAATATACTAAGAATCGCTGGATTCTACATTTTAAAGGATGAATTTTATGGAATATAAATCATATCTAAATAAAGCTGTTTTTAAGAAAAAATTGCTAACTCATTTATTAATTTGCCCACTAACTTTACAAATATTTATCGAGCACCTACTTTGGGCCAGGGAATTGCAAACAGGAAAATAAGTAGTCCAGGTTCTCAAGAAGCTCACTACTACATACAAAAGGAGCGCCTGTCCACAAAGGAGGAAATGCTGAATTTAAAACTCAAAAGATAAGTGGAGGTTTCCCAGGAAATAAGAGAGATGGACAAGAAGATGAAGGCAAAGGATGAATATTTTGTCCAGATGGACCAGAATGCAGAAGCCCAACCCGCCGTTTGAAGAAGTACTCACAACCTGGGCAAAGCTCAGTATAATTTCATATGCAGAAGAAATGCCAGCATGACACCCAAAACATAATGGAGAACAATTCGAAATCTTTATAAGTATCAGTAACTAGGTAATGGGGGAATTACATTATTAACACATAACACTCTACTTCTTAAAATTTACTTTCCCAGCCTTTCTCTAAGGTAACTACGCCTCATTCATTCTCCCAACTGCTCCCAAGATTTGGTCTTTTGCTCAGTCCTACCCTTTTCTAGCTCTACTTGTTTCTGTAAGTGGTCTACCTGTTATTTTTTTGTTTGACATTTATTATACGATATCACAAACATCAAAAGAATTACATTGAGAATATATAAAGAATATAATGAAATATACATGTATACAAGTAACTTTATAAAATCTTAATGTTTTCCATAGGTGCTGCAGATTTTTTAAAGTAATTAATTAATGTGGATATAACTAAAGCCTACCATGGATTGTGTCTTGACTTTACTATGCCTCCCTCTTGCCCTAGAGGTCACCATGATCCTGACCTTATCAAATACTTTTTATCTATCTATCTATTATATAATCATATCAATGTTACTTGAAATGCATATTTTCTGGCCTTGAACTATGCTTGCATTCCAGGGGTAAACTCAGAGTACATGGATGAATGGAGATCAATAGATAGATGGGTAGGTAGGTAGGTAGGTAGGTAGGTAGGTAGGTAGGTAAATAGGCCAATAGACAAGACTCTGAACTAAATTTGCTAATAGAGTTTTTTGAGTTTATGTCCATAGGCAAGATTGAACTATGATTTTCTTTTCATGTACTATTCTTGTTGGGTCTTGGTAGCAATAAAATACAAGCCTCCAAAACTGGGTCAACTTTTACTCCCCAATTCTTTGAAAACAGTTAAAGGATTCTTGACGTTAGATGACAATTCTCCTCTAAAATGACCAGGGTCTGTGTCTCAGGATGCTCCCCTTCTCAAGTCAGGGAGTAGGGGATGCAGGGGCAGGGAAGGTGCAAGGGTGGAAGAAGGAATATTTTTTATTATGAATTCATTTTCTGTAATACTTAGTTATTTGGTTTGATTTTCTGTTTCTTCTTGAATCATTTTGGAGAGCTTATAGTTTTAGAATTACCCATTTCATCTAATTTTTTAAATGTATTGGTCTGAAGTTATTTAGAGTGTTCTCTATGATTTAAAAATCTCAGTTGTATCAGTTGCTATGAATCCTTTTAAGTATTATTTCCTTGTGTCTTCTCTAATATTATTTTTCATGCCTTTCTTAATCAGTTTTTCTAGAAATATATATTTTATCAGATTTCCAAAAATACTGTGTTTTTTGTTTTCTTTGGCGGTACGCAGGCGTCTCACCGCCGCGGCCTCTCCCGTCGCGGAGCACAGGCTCCGGACGCGCAGGCTCAGCGGCCACGGCTCGCAGGCTCAGCGGCCACGGCTCACAGGCCCAGCCGCTCAGCGGCATGTGGGATCTTCCCGGACCGGCGCACGAACCCGTGTCCCCTGCATCGGCAGGCGGACTCCCAACCACTGCGCCACCAGGGAAGCCCAATACTGTGGTTTTGATCTTACTGTTTCAGCTTTCTATTTCACTAATTTCTGCTGTTATTTTTATTATTTCTCCCACTTCCTTTAGGTTTTCTATCTGTTCTCTCTTTCTCTTTGCTTTATTTCTAGGTTCCCAGACTGAACACAGCTCACTTCTTTTCATTATTTTCTATTATGGTTAACAGTACAAGTCACATAGTGAGCATCCATTTTCCTCTACTCCTTTAATAATACAACCTCAATTTTAACTGAATAGCAATGCATTCATATTCTTTCCATGTCCTTCCAAGAACCGAGGAAGCCATAAACTAGCTCCTGGCCTTACGCTCTATTCATTGCATATTTTAAGTCCTCTTTGTTCACAGGAGCCAAAGCCTGCTTCTGGAAAGCAACTATTGGTTTTAGTCTAGATCACTGCATTTCTATTCCATTACTTGTCCACAACGATATCTATCTTTCTTGAGCCTAGTTATGCCTTGTTGGTTTTCTATTTGTATATTTAATCCATCGTAGCTATACATTTGGTACAGAGGGATTTGAAACGTGAACTTCTGAAGCTGTGTTGATTGGAGGTCAGCTTTCTGCTCTTTCTAATATTAACCCATCCAGCTTTTCTGGCTTCTTTCAATCCACTGTTCTATACATTAATTAAATCAATACAGTGAAGGGTCCTCAGACCAGTATGCCAACCAGGAAATTAGCAGCAGGGTCCTCGGAATACTTTCAGATGTTTTATTTTGTCTCTTCTTTTTTTTTTTTTTTTTTTTCCTTTTGTCATTCTATACTACTGCAAGTAAGGCAGGGAATGACAAAAGGGGAAGCTAAACGGGTGCTAAAACAAGAGGCCTTTGTACAGCAAGCTGAAGACTTTTTAACTTTAGGCTAATGGAAAGCCACTGAACAATTCTGTATAAGCTGGTTACTTGAGATTTATTGTCAGAAAGCTCATGATAGCAGTAGTATGGGATGGGGACTGTGAGGTAAAGCAAGACTGATGTCAAGTAGAAGCAAAACAAGGCTCATGCAATGGTCAAGTGGAAAACAGTGAGCACCAGTGGTGGCAGATTCACGATTCATTCCATCAGCTACTCAGTCATTCAGCATATGAGGACCAAAGATCGAGTGTATGCATGGCATTATGCAAATATGAACTAATGAATTGATATGGGATGAATTAAGATGAATTAATAGGGATAAGAAAAGCAAAGTTCCTGTCCTCATTGAATTTAGAGGCAACTAAACAGGAATTAGAAATGTAAAGGTGAAAAATCAATGAGAACTTTATGGTCTAAGAGAACAGTACGAGTAAGAACCTAAAGCATAAAGAATTTGTTGATTTCTATTGCAAGAGTAGGCCACGGGGCTGGAATGCTACGAGCAAGAAGGGAATGGTAGAACGTGAGGCGACAGTCAGGAAAGGGGCAAATCATAGATGACTCTACTGGTCATATTCGCATTGTTCAACCCTTTGAACAATGGAATTTAGGGTTTTAGAAAAACACTCTGAGCGTGTATGAAGAATGCTGAAAATGAGACGAGCAATAAACAGGGTATTGTAGAAATGAAAGTGAGAGACTCAGGTCGGTTTGGTGTTGGATGTTAAATAGGAGATGCAGAGAAGTGGATGGCTTCCAGATCCTGGTGAGGTCTGGGTAGTTAATAGGAAACACTACAGAAAGATATTTGGTGTCACACTCTGAATCCTTTAAAAGATCCTAATTAACTAAAATAAAAGTAAAACAAAATTTTTAAAACCCTTGCAAGAGAGGTAGGTCTGGACCTTCCAGAAGCCAAATTAAAAAAACAAAACAAAAACCTAGA